TGGTGTCTGTCTGTCTGTCTGGATTCAACATAGAACTTGGCACCGAAGTGCACCAGTTCGAGTTGCCACGTTCCAAATAACACACAGAGGTAGACAAGAAGATGAGTGAAGAGAATCAATAGAGTTTGACAAGTATAAGAGTGAAACAGAATGGGTAATGGTAGAAAGGAATATGAAAGATTATAGAGACTGAATACATCTGCGCTGGCCATTGACAACGATTTTGAGCCATGTCACCTGTTGTCTCCAGCCATTGATTCCTAGAGTCAGTCCCGAGGGCCCCAACCCGGAAGTCTGCATCTCCCTACCTGACTCAGTTTAACTGTCAAGGATTTCATGGATTGATGCCATGTTTTTGTTTGGCCACCACTGGCTCTTTTCCAACCTGAACCTATATCTGTCTGTCTGTCTGTTTTCGACATAGAACTTTGCACAAATGTGCGGAAGTTCAAGTCGCCACATTCCGTGTAGCACGCGAAGCAAGAGAAGAAAGTACAAGAAAAGCATAATAGAAACAGTGAGCAGAGGTGTGAGACAAAGGAGTAATAAAGAAATACAAAACAGTTTCATTGAAGATCATAAGTCACAGGGAGTGGATGCATCTGCGCTAGCCACTGAGAACGATTTTGAGCCATGTCACCAATTGTTTCCAACCATAGATTTTTACCGTCCCGAGGACCCCAGCCAGTCAGGAAGTCTACACCTTCCTACGTGGCTTAGACCAACTGTTGTGGATTTCATTGACTGATGCCAAGTTTTTGTTTGACCGCCGCTAGCTTTTTTCCAGCCTGACCCTATATCCGCTAACATTGCTCGTCGAGGGAGGCGATGGCTTGGCATACGTAACACATGTCCTAACCATCTCAGTCGATGTAGCTTCACGACTTCGTCGATTGATTTCCCCTGTTTACCTAGAACTCTACGCCTAACCTCCATGTTGCTCACCTTATTATGCCACTTTACACGGGAAATAGAACGCAGGCACCTATGATCAAAGACAGCTAGTCTCTTCATGTCTTCCACTCTCAGTGGCCAGGTCTCACAACCATACAGGAGGACGGAGCGGACTGATGAGCAGTACACCCGCCCTTTGGTCGATAGTCGAACATCTCGTCTACGCCAGAGTCGGCGTAAACTAACAAATGCGAAACGAGCCCTTGTATTCGTGCTGAGATTTCGTCAGAGATCAGCCCGTTGGGGCTGATGGTACTTCCCAAATAAGTGAAGCGGTCAACGTGCTCTACCACTTCACTTCCTATTTTTAAACTAGGCCTCACTGTAGTAGTCCAGTCCCTGTAACATCATCTTGCATTTGGCGGGAGCGAATCGCATGCCAAACATTCGTAGATTGCTGTTCAAGGTGTTTAGAAGACTCTGCATTTTGTCAGCGTCTTCGCCTAGAAGGACTATATCGTCTGCATATTACAAGTCAACGAGATTATTCCCAGGTAGCAAGTCAATCTTTGAATCGCTGAAGTCACCTAGGGTTAAGTCCATTAACACATCTATGATGAAGTTGAATAGAAAAGGAGATAATGGGCATCCTTGACGGACACCACTGGTCGTCATCAGTTCAGATGACAGCTCGCCGTAAGCCCTCACCTGGCTGACTGCATCAGTACGAGTAGAGTGCCTTAATCAGTGCAATATATTTTCTTGGAATTCCCTTTACAGCCAAACATCTCCAGAGAACTTCTCTATCGACAGAGTCGAATGCTGCCTTTAGGTCAAGAAATATAATGACTGTTGGACGCCGGTAGGAATTCCTATGTTCTAGAATCTGTCGGAGGGTGAAGATATGATCAATACACCCTCTTCCTGGTCTAAAGCCTGTCTGGCTCTCTCGTGTTTGTGCCTCCCGAGCACCACTTAGTCTACGCATGATTATTGAGCCTAAGACTTTAGATACTATATTAGTCAAGCTAATCCCTCTGTGATTATCACAGGAAGACTTGTCTCCCTTCTTGTATATGGGGATAATCAGTGACTTACACCAACCCGATGGGACTTCTTCTGATTCCCAGACGCTGCCTAGTACCTCAGTTAATCCGGACAGTAAGGTGTCTCCACCGTGCTTAAATACCTCTGGCGTCATTCCATCAGGTCCCGCTGCTTTGCCTAGTTTCAGACCTATATCAGCTAGCAAAGCCCGTCGGGGGAGGCGGTGGTTAGGCATGCGCAGCACGTGACCTAGCCATCTTAGTCTTAGGCTGGTGCAGATGTATCCACTCCTTGTGACTTATGATTTCCAATGAAACTGTTTTGTTCTTCGTTATTATTATTCCTTTGTCTCACACCTCTGTTTACTGTCTCTATTATGATTCTCTCCTACTTTCTTCTATTGCTTTGTGTGTTACATGGAGTGTGGCGACTTGAACTGGTGCATATCGATGCAAAGTTCTATGTCGAAAACAGAGAGACGGACAGACAGCTAGAAGTCCCTATTTGTTTCTCGGTTGACATACTCTGAAATAACGCCTATTTGATAGTCATCCTGAACCTTAAGCGTGAGTCTAGCAACCTTCACTCTGTCAAGACAAAACCGCCACTATTGGTACTTAAAAGCTTGAAGTCTTATGTTCCACTTGGAACACAAGCAGTGAAGACTGCTGACTGGACTGAATTTCAACATAGAACTTTTTTTACAGGAATGCAGCAGTTTGCGTTGTCACAATCCATGTAGCACACACAAAGACAAAAAATTAGAGGGGGAAGAAAAGGATTCAGAAGGAGTATAGAAAACAGAATTGTAATGGAGAAAGAATGGAGTAACACATTGAAAAACATGAGGATTTAACGGGTATAGGGTTCTAATGGGAAGCCTTGCCCAGTAGGATGCAGCAGGTTGAAGGTAAGGCAGTAACTCATAGAAGAAGACATTGGCTAGTGGTCGCGCTATGTCATGAATTGGTAGAAGTTAGAATTCATGGACTTACCGGCCATTGGATCGGGTCCCAGTGACTGGTGAATTGTCTACGAGCTGGTTCGACTTGAAACCAGAAGGTCATGGTTTCTAAGTCTGGCGCTGAGTGCGTACTGCTGAAGAGTCGCAAACTAGGCCGACGAAGCAGCTGTCGAGTACGCCCTACATGTTTTCCAATGATTCTCTAACTGATGTCAGCTCATGATGAAATCCTCCAACAGATATAGGAAATCAAAACAAGATTTTGAGCGAACAATTGTGGTTTGGATAACTTCTTCTTCAGGCTATACAGTTATAAATCCATGAATAATGGAGTACATATAGCCAATAAAGGCAAATGAAAATAATATCAGAAACTGTATTGGGGTGCATGTGTAAGGCGAGATGATGATAGTCCATTAGTTAGCATAGTCAATTAAATGTGTATAGGGTGTTTAGTCAGAAAAATGTGATGAAGTGTGAATGAACAATTAGGTGATATAGTGTTGTTTTATAGTTAACAGAATACAAGTGTCCTTGGGGTGAGAAAATTGGGGTATAGGAAATCACAAAGACTGAGTTCATCCGCTGTATCGACAACGATTTTGAATTATACCACCAATAGTCTGTAGTTATTGGTTCTTATCACTCCGAGAACCTCAATACGACAGCATACACCTTGCTATATGACTCAGTGGTTCGGCATTCGTAACATTATGTCCTAGCCATCTCAGTCGGTATAGCTTCACAATCTAATCGATTGAATGAAGAAAGAAAAAGGACTAGGGGCTATAATTAACATGTACGAGTTTATCGTACTGTACCGCGAAGTGTCTGTTGAAAACCTGAAGCTAAAGTCAAACGACTTAAGTCTTAATATGAAATAATAGTATGATAGTATTACTTTCAGAAAATAATCTATTCAGTTGTAAATTCATTAGTGTTCTTTTCGCTAGAGAAGACAAGAATACATTGGACTGATAAAAAGCCTCTAGGAAATCTGAATTTCTCAGTCCATTTATGTCTAAGGTCATATGAAATCGAAGACTTACAGGTGAAAACAGACGAGTTGGTAGAAGTGGTAGGCAGTGAAGATTGGACTTCAAGTGGACCTAGAAAAGACAGAGATGTGATAGAGATACGCAGCAATCAATAGCAACAAGCATTAATCACTCAATGGGAGAAGTTTAAAAAAGATCAGTTCCTTTATTTATAATTAGGTAGGATATCGTTTCAACTACAGGAGGCCATCGGTGAAGATGTAAGAGCCAGCCAGAATCGGAAAGGCAAGGCAGAACGTCATCCCTGTGATATGTCAGTGTAGAAATCTTCTGAACTCATCACAGGCAACAGAATTCGGATTTTCAAAATTAGCGTAAAGTCAGTCAGTTCTTCTGTATGAGTCAGAAACTTGGCCAGTGCATCATTAAAAGCATTTCGAATAGAATGCAGATTTTCGTCAATAGCTGCCGCCTTCCCTAGCTCCATAATGAAGATTAAATGGCCAGAAAGAATTAGCAACAAAAAACTGTGAGAGTGAATTAATGAAGAACCCTGTTATTGTTATTATTATTGTTCCCTTTGGTTCCTAGTGAAACATAGGGCTTCAACTGCACATCTCCCTCCACTTGCTTCTGTCTTCCTTCTGCTGTACTTTTCACCTGCATCCATGTTAGTCCATACTCTTACAACTCCTCTTCCCACGATCTCCTCGATGTCATTCCTGCACCGACGACCAGCCGCCACTTCCCTTTCGGCCTGGTTCCACTCGAGAAATGGTCTGACGTGCGCACGATGTTATGCAGAAGAACCCTATCACTCGATAGATATTGTAAAAGAAGTGGAAAGCGGTCGAACGCACGCGTGAGGAGACCGATATTGCATGCCCAGGCCATCGCTCAAACTGAACTCGAACGGAAAACGTCGATTTGGGCGTTAGTCGAGGGTGACGTGGGGGAGGCCGTACGTGGAGAATATATTTATATATATATATATATATATTTGCTAGCTTGCTTTTTTTCTATGCACTGTTTTCCTTTTTCTCATCTCTTTTTGTATTAATGTACCGTTTTCTCTGTGTGTGTATTTTTTTTTTCAGAGCAATTATTCTTCTGCATTTAATTCACAATGAACTGATTTCACAAACATCGTTACCATCGAATGAGTTTTATTCCAGCCAATTTGTTGAGTTACTTTTACAATCCTTAGAAACTGTCAGCATGAATGAACAACTTTCATTCTATACACGTCAATTCCTACAAATGGTTTCTTGTCGTCAACAAATTTCTGAAATTACTAGCTACATAAATAATCTTACCAGTGAATCAATGCAAAGTGAATGGTTCTATCCATTAGAGGCATATAATGCGTCAACGTCGTCTTCATCGGCTTTCTCCTCTTCTATGCCCTATTCTTGGGATTCATATCCTTCATCTGCTGTTATGTGTGAACGTATTTTATTGGGATTATTGATAAACACGACAAGTCATAATTGTAACGATTTTGCTGGTTACTTAATCTTAAGATTACTTGACCATTTCCCAGACGCTATGCAAGAGTATGATCAAATTGAGTCATTTATAAGTGAATCAGAATTGGAACAAGGTTAGTTGATCAGTATTTGTCTGTTGGTGGGTATTTTTGACGGGGGGGGGGATTTCTTTGTCTGAATAGTTGTTAATATATGTTGCATAATGAATTAGTGAATGCGTAGTAGCAGTAGTAGTCGTAGGGCAGTATCACATCTTCTCGATGTATAATTTTACTTCTTTTATCACATTGACAATATCATCATAATCAGGATAATTTGTTGTTTTGAATAATTTGAGATTTGAGTTGTCCATTACTTGGGTCCAAAGAGTTGGTGTTCTTCTACTGCTGCAAACTGCCTTAGCTCTATACTCAAGAGCAGAAGATCGATCAGAAGGAATTAGTTACAAAGGAGTTTTAGAACAGATCAACCCGCAATGCAATTACCCAAAACTTATGCTGAAGTAAGTGGAGATGGATAAAACGCACACACACACACACACGGTGATAAGGAGACTGTTGAATGCAGTGGCACCGCACTGGGTCATCAGCTCGAATGGAACCCGATTGTGAAACGACAACTTTTTCATGAGTCTGAGGATGACACGGGGGAGAACGTGTAAGTAAGGAGGAGATGAGAGAGTTTCTGGGGAATCGCCGGAGTAACCGAAGAGGACTTCATAGACCAGGGAGTGATGGGGATGTGCTGTTGAAGCTCACTCGGAACCCAAAGGGACTGATAATGATAATCTATGCTACTTAAAACTGCAATAGGAATAACTTGTTCATATGTAACGCAGAGTTACTTGAATAGTCACATCTGTATAATTGAATATAATTTCTTTCCTCGACACCGGCATACCTTTCTAGCGGTGATGGCACTGTTTAAAGAATTTGTTCCCTTTAGACGTAAATTTTTTGGTATATGTTCAGAAAATCGTAGATATGCCCTTCTTTCTGTCCTTCCGAAGTAACTGCTCCCCCAGATACATGTCAATTTGTCTATACAGTTGGAGTTAACATGAGAAGAAGGATATTTGTCGATTTTTGATTGCACCAAAGAGCAAATTGTTCGATAGACGGGAACGAGCTTAGTTGCAGGAGAGGCTCTGCCTAGTGACGTACTCAGTCTTCTGTTGACCATTGCTGCAATGTTTTCACTTTTATAATCAAGTTGAATGTAGATTGGCATTTTCTCTACTGTGATTCGTTTTACATCTGTGACTTCAGATCTCCTATACTTTTAAATGAACTTTTGAGGGTAACCATTGCTCTTCAACACCTTTCAAGAAACCCAAATTCTCTGTAGAGCATATTCTCTTCGCTCATTCGACAAGAAAAAACAGTTAATAAAGAATATAATTTAGAGGGAAGGGGGGGAATACGAACGTCTCTGTACTGTAAAAATGAATGTCGTATTTTAGATAAATCAGGTGTACATGACAGCTAAAGAGACAGGTGAATGATATATATTGGTAGGCATTATTACTTAGTCAAGGATGGTTTGTTCTTGTTATCGTTCTTCACTGTGATATATTTTTATTTTATTTTTGATTACAGCTTGATTCCACACTTTACTTTTGGTACAAGTATGGAATTTTCAGCATGGATATCGCTAGCTTAAATTTTGCAGGCCGACCATAGATATCAGGTGTGCGTCGGTAGGGGATATCGAACCTCGGACCATGTGCATGGTCGGGGCGAGCGTCCTAACCTCTGTGCCACCGACGCACGTTAAACTGAAATAGTCAATAAAATACTAAAGTGAAAAGATACTTTAAAAGGCAAGGGAAAATCGTTTGAAAACTTAATACATATTATTTAATTGGCCGTGGAAAAGAAGGGGGCCGCGTATATTTCTTTTGAATACACAGATACGGCATGTTCCGATGAATTGTAATTGACACTGCTCTGTGTACGAATCATACTCATAGAGTGTGCAGTAGGCTGGGTGATATACATTGAGTAACTTCAAAAGCGATGTTAGAGTCAACTTGATGTTCACTGTCTACGAGATGAGCTAGTATTGATCTGCATATAGCTTTATTTGAACCTTTTTCAAACCAAGATTTGAAGGAGACAGGAGGGGGGTTGTGTTCAGAAATTCGGTGACAAACGTTTTGATCATACACCCAATGTAACTAGCAGCTCCACAAGAACAGTTAGAGGTGAAACAAGGTGGTTTGTCTTTATTTCTTGAACTGAATATTGGTTGATTTGTGAATAAACAGCATAACTTAGCTGGATTGAAGGCATTTTTCAGTTGTTGTGACAAAATCTCACTATTAACATCTCCCGTGATGAGTGGCAACTTCAGAAACATCGATTTTTTGGAAACTGTGGGCTGTTTAGTTGCTGAGTTCATGTGTATATGGTCGGATATCCGTTTCTACTTAGTACTTACTTCACAAATATTATTGTAGAACCGATGATGAAGAAGAACTAATGGTAAGAGAATAATATTTCTTCAGTCAATTTGTTTTTTGATTTTTTTTAAATATGTAAGTGGGAATTTTTTTAAAATTATACTCTTATAATAAGATTTTATTGTAATGTCTCTCCCTCACTCCCTCTCTCTAAATATCTTTTCTATTTATCTTCTTCTGATTTCCAGTTTCTACAGATTATGAAGACTTCAATTCTCTCTATCTGTTTGGCCCATTAGCTTCATTAGCATCGACACCTTATCAACGCTTGTTTGCCTGGTTATGTCTACATCAAGATGCTGAACAGTCTAAGCGTATTGAATTTGTCTTCGACTGGTTAAACTATTTGTATAAAATTTTCATACCAAGACAACCACCTTCTATTTTATATTCTAGGCTTTTCACTCATTGGTCTCAATTATTATTAATATTTTCAAGTGTTTTATGGAGTTTGCATAACAGTAATGTTAGTAGTAGTGGTAGTCAAACAAATTGTACACATTCATGGCGAAAATGTCTAACAGTCGATTTAATTAGGTAGGTTTGATTTTCTTTTTTTTTCAAATTCCTACATTTAGCAGTTTTATTGGTGTGTTTTTTGTTTTATTGAATGGTTTAGGAATTTTGTTTTTAAGCCATGGATAATCCCCATCCAGGCATTAATGAAAACAAAACACCTAGTGTTCAGCAAAGAGTCTCTTTTCGCCGGTGAATTCATTTTCATAGCTGTACAATCGCGAATATATATATATGGTTGTTTTGTATGTATGTGTACATTAAGTTTGTCAAAAAAAATTACAATTGGTTATGGTTATTTCAACTAAACAGGTGAAGATTGGTATTACAAGTCAAGGAAATTAGGTGTTAATGAAATTAGGGTAGTAACAAAGGTGATGAGTTATCATAAACAGTTGTTAAAAAAGAAGTTATGTAATAATAATATGAATAGTTTGATGATGATTGAGTTTTACTCAGGATACACTTAGGAACAAAGAAGAGACAAGGTGCGCGTCGAACGACCGATTTAAGGAGATTCAAGAACACTATCCAGCCAGCATGGTTGTGAAAAGGCGATAGTGGTGCAATAAGGAGTGCGATAATTGAACACTTGCTTAACATTGATCAATCATTCCATCTCAACAAACGCCTCCTCCTTCAAAGTAATCTACTGAGTCAAGAATAACCTATCAAAGGCAATACGGTTTCATCTTCTTCATATCGCTGAAACTTTGGCCATTCACATAGAAAAGCCGGAGCTGTGCATACAAAAGAGAATTACTCAACCACTTCTACTGTTATAGTGACAACTTTGTTGGTTTTGATGACTTAATTTTGTTTGTTTGCCTGTTCTTTAATTGTTTATAATTCTCGTATTCATTTAGAACTCTTACGTAATTTCGTATTCTCTTCTTTGTTCCTATATGTATCCTGAGTGAAACTCAATCATCATCAAACTATTCATATTATTATTACATAACTTCTTTTAACAACTGATTATGACAACTCATCACCATTGTTACTACCCTAATTTCATTAACACCTAATTTTCTTGACTGATTTTGTATTACGTAACTCCGACAACCAATTTTCACCTGTTTAGTTAAAATAATCATAACCAATTGCAATTTTGTTTGACAAACTGAATGTACACACACATACAAAACAACCGTATATACTTGCGATTGTACAGCTATGAAAATGAATTCACTGGCGAAAAGAGACTCTTCGCTGAACACTAGGTGTTTTGTTTTCATTAATTTTGTTTTGTGTTTAAAGACTGAGTTTACTAGTGAACAAAGAAAATCCTTTCCGATAATTTCCTCCTCTGGCTCTACATTTATATATATGTGCATTTATATACATAGAATATTCCAGAATAGTCATCATTAACAATACCGGTGTTTTTACAAGTTGATCACGGATTGATATCAGTTAGAGAACCATTGAAAACCAGGGAGGACTGGACAGCTGCTGTTTCATCCTAGTTTGGGAACCATCGGCAGTGCGCACCCACTGGGAATCGAACCCAGGACCTTCCGGTTACAAGGCAAGCTCGTATACCATTCAGCCACTGGGACCCGATTCAATGGCTCGTGAATTCTAACTTCTACCAATTCGTGATTTAGCGCGACCCCAACCATTGTCGTTGGTGGGACATCCATCCACACACGTGACATCTAATTGGACCTCACTGGTCACGACTTCTCACTAGAACTCAGGAAACTCCAACCTGTAGGAAGTCACTAGCGAGCATCAGATTAATTTTCTATAGTTTGGTTTGTAAGGGTTAGTTATGGTTTACGAGTTTATCATGGAATTATATCAGTTAGAGAACCATTGAAAACCAGGGAGTACTGGACAGCTGCTGTTTCATCCTAGTTTGGGGATCATCGGCAGTACGCACCCACCGGGATTCGAACAGCTGCTGTCCAGCACTCCCTGGTTTTCAATGGTTCTCTAACTGATATCAATCCGTGATCAACTCGTAAAAACATAACTAACCCTTAAAAACCAAACTATAGAAAATACAGGTGTTTTTAAATACTGTCGACTTGTTAAGTAAAATCATTGGAATTACAGTTGAAGAAAGGCACTCAAGTTATAATATAATAAGCATAAAAATGTATTAGCAATTAGAATATCAAATAAAATTAAGAAAATCTCTACAACAACAAATTGAGCATCATTAAAACCTTGATTGCCTGTGGAGGGTAAGGATAGTTTCTGAACCAACTTCTTCTTTGGGATAAATAAGTAAGGTTTCTTAGTGTGGTCCCCAACAGTCAGCCTCATCAATATGTAGTAGACGTACTCTTTAGGTGAAGTTGAGATTAGTTGGTCGGTATGCTGTAGATGACTTTGAAAGCTGCCTTGTTAACATCAATCTTGTGTTGTGTATCCATGAGATGAGATCGAACAGAGTTGTGAATGGATTCTTCTTGTCCTTTTTTAATTGACCACTTCGCATGATGATGTTGGGAAATCCGTCGTTAAACACGCTTAATTTTACGGCCTATGTGACTGTCTAACTGCATAGGGGCATTCAGATTGGTAGATACATACAGAAGAGGCGAAATTAGGCAGCTTATCTTCAACTCCCAAACGCAAAATAGGGTTGGTTTTGAAGACAGCATAGTATTTATCAGCACTAAATGCTGCTGAATGACGATTATTTTACAATTATATATATGGCAGAGTTAAAGTTTAATCACCATCAACCACCAATTAACGAATGACTTCGAACGCACCAATCACGTGAAGGAGGTATTTTTGTGTGTAGAATACATACATTTATGAAAAAATGCATAAAAACTGTATAAAAGTGTAACAGAGGATACCTTCCTCTCACATGTGATAAAAATAGCTCTCAGTTTTAGGTTGGAGAGTATCAACAGAGTATAATTCCATTATGAGTAAAATTTATTTTGACAGAGCCTCATAATGTTATGCAGTAATATTTACTGAGCAATAAATTATGCTCGGAACTTCATCAGTAAATATTATTGTATAGCACTCTGAGAGTTTATCCAAATAAATTTTACCCCCAGTTGAATCATACTTTACCACAGTACACAAGTTCTGCTCTTATATCAGGAGAGAAAAATAATCACATTCTATGCATGTAATTATTTAGGTCTTCTAACCCTTACAATAATCCTAATCTTGAACTTAACTCTAACGTGAAAATATCTCCAAACTAACAGTAATCTAACTCTAACCAACCCTAATGTCACCTTTGTGAGATTAGCCTAACCCTAACCTTGTCCTTGACTTAAAGAGTAACTTGATCTTTCCCAAACCTAAGCTGTGAAACTTGTCAGATGATCCCATTTAATAACATATCACTTCGATGAGTATATTTTATTGATGATGACAACATTAAATGTCGGATTTCACTATCCTGCTCAGTGAGCGTCTCAAGGTCATCGGTGTAGTCGCACTCCATTGGTAGTTAGTGGTGCTTAAAGTTTAACTTGGCTATATATATATATATATATATATATATATATATATATATATATATATATAAACAAGTTAAACACGAATCCGACAGTTCACTAGTAACGCCTCTGACTGCAGCACTAGGTGAAACTGATTCGAATCTTAAAAGAGATATTAACTCCTTTAAGGATGTATATACGCCTTTCTCACTGGTGAGTCGCAACAAGCACGCGACCTACGTGTCTAGGACAGGGCTTCCTACTGATCAGCAATAAGTTAGTGTTGTTTTTAGTATCATTCAGGCGAAAATGTCAGTGTGTTTTATAAATATTCTTTATGTGTAAATGATCATAGTTTTCACATTGTGACACTTGCCTTTTTTGTCTCTTTCAGTTCTCTTCATGACTTGTGCATTTCATTGAGGCATCATCGTGAAAAATATGTACATATAACAAAGCTGGATGATAATTGCATCGTTGAAATTGAACACTTCTGTGATGCTCTAACCAGTCTATTATGCTCATTATGCTCAATTGAACCGAATGCTGTGCCTATCCTCTTATCAAAACTGTTAGTAGTTTCCACCTCTTCGTCTTCTGCAACTGCTGCTTCTCCTTCTATTACTGTTGATCAAAATCAGGAATCTTTATTATTTAATAGTCAGCTAAAGATTTTAAATTCAATTCTTTCTTCTGATCCTATTGTCTACTCTGTTCTATGCATGAATAGTGAATCGCCGACGACACCACCAACAACAACCACAACAACAGTATCAGATAACTTTTTCTATGATTGTTGTATTTGGCTGGTAAATTATCTTTCTAGTTATAACGCCTTTTCTCCCAACACCTCATCATCATTATCCTCATCTGTCCATTCAGCTGTAAGACGTCTAGACATGTTAACCTACTTTATGCAATCAAATCAACCGACCGTCTTGAGAAGTGCTCTTGGCAAGTTAATTTGCGATCATCTTCTACCGGTTATATTTTCTACATTCACTTCAATGTCTTCCTCCTCTTCGTCTCTTCTTCTTGTCCTTCTATGAGGTTGAATTCATCAAATATCTATGAATTTTGTCAACTACAAAAAGCAACTATCGAATTGTATGAAGCAATGAAATTACCTATACCTGTGCAAAAATCACCTTCTGATGATTTGTCAAATGTATATTGTGAAAAGACAACTTTAGAAGCTTCAGATGTCTATGTGAATCGTTCAAATGATCTTCTTATTGGAGCTTTTAAGGAATCACTTTCAAACTCCAGTAAGTGGTGTATGTGTATATTATATATTAAACATTACATAGTATGTAACTAGTTTCGTGCATGTAGTTCTACGTTCGGTACAGGCTGAATTCATTCAGTTACATTCACAATGTGGCCATCAGGTTGCACTCTGAATTTTTGTTACTAACTAGATGGTTAGAGGCGATAATCAGCTGGAAGCCTTGCTGGGTGTAGATGTCGTGCTTGTTGGCACTCACTAGTCAGTCAGAAAGGTGTATCTTCAACCTTGAAGGGGCTCATCTCCTTTCGGCGATTTGAACCATGGTGATTCAATGCTGCGGTCAGAGACTGTGCCACTGAATTATTCGCGCTGGCGGTTGACCTCCTATAGGACGACTGTATTGGATACTTTGACTGGACACTGTCAGTCGCCTCCAGCTATCTCATAACGATAATTTAGAGCGAATGGTGATGACGAGTCACTTCCTACATGGCGGCTACATTGCGAACTTTACGGATAGAATTTATTCTGCGCCAAACAAAGAATCAATCAAAGCAACTATTACAGTCCTATTATTGTTATTATTGTTGTTTGGTTGGGTTTCGAGTGGAACATAAGGCTTCAACACCACATCTCCACTTGGTCTTATTCTCTGCGATCCTCTTTAGATTATCTTACAATTACCTATAGTCTCTGATCGCCTCCTGACGTGATCTCCTCCATGTTACATACGGGCGCCCCACTCGCGTTCCACTCGAGCAATAGCCTAGCGTTCGACGTCACTCAACGGTCTCCTCAGTGTGTACCTTATCCATCTTCATTTCCTTTAACATATTTGTTGAACACTAGGTTCTTGGTTGGTTTGTTTCCATAGTCTCTTATTGCTAATTCTTTTTAGCTAGTCATTTGGTTTTCACTAGGAAGAGAAGTCTCCTTATAACAGTCCTACAGGAGGTCAATCGTGAGCCCGAATAGCTCCCTGGTAACCTCTCACTACAACACTGAGTGACACGGGTTCGAATCCCAATAGGGACATGTGTTCCTTAAAGATCGAATTGATAGAGGTTGGAATTCACAGACTGGTCATTGAATCGGATCTCAGCATCTGAATGGGCTACGAGCTTATCTTGTAACCTGTAAGGTCCTCGGTGCGTGGTAATGAAGAGTCCTAAGTAGGGACGAAACAGCTGTCCAGTACTCCCTGCATATTTTCCAATGGTTCTCTAACCCATGTCAGCTCATGATGAAGTCCTGAAACACGGATAGGTCGGAGACATGCTGAGGATACGGTTGACTGAAATCGCTTTCCAGGCCATCGCTCAAGTGGAATTCTAACGGGAAACCAGTTAGGCATACTTTTGAGAGTGACATGGAGGAAATTCTGGGAGAAGGAAATGAAGTCTCACGAGCAATCTTGAAGCCAGGTAAAGAGAACAGGGTGAAGTGGGGATGCGATGTTAAAGCCCTATGCTCCACTTGGAATCCAAGGGAATAATAATAATACTAATCCTTATCGAAAAGAATATTCTTTGTTCGATTATTTTGTGTTTTATAGATGTCTGAATGAATATTTTTTGCTATATTGAAATCTTCTGAGCATCATTTTGCGTTAAAAGTACTCAACGAGTATTTGAAGTATAGCGCAAGGCTCAGCGAAGCAAAGACTACTGTTGACTTTATCCACCAGTGTATTGAAACAAACCGGTAGCCTAAACTTTATTGGAAATCTCTACGCCGTAACAGAGTCCGGCCTAATGATAAGACACTCAAACGCCATGCACGTAACCAAATTGACTCAATTCAATCGTGTATTACTGAGCTATCGATGAATTACCAGAAAACTTAAAGAAACTATTTTTAGATTATATGGATGCAGTTGTGAGTAATAGGAAAGAAAAGAAACGCCTGAAGCTGGTACAGAGCTGAAACAAGGTTTCCTCCGAGCCGAAACCGTTTTGTGTTTAATTTTTCGGATGTAACACTTAGTGAAGTGGATCTACAGGTTCTATCGCTTGGCCCTAAATTTTGTGGTAGTTATGTAAAATTAACAAAATGGACGCACAAATTCAGTTCGAAAGTCTCTACACCAAACGGAAGGCCTAATCCCCTCATCAACGGTAGATGTTGAAAGACTCAAATCAACACTAGTCGATTGTTGGTATTATTAAATGAACAGTAAACGCAATTCGTTTAGTATCTTAACCAAGAAACACAGAGAAGCTCTGGATAATCTACGCAAAAATGAAAATATAATAACAGAACCGGATAAGGGCTCAGGAGTGGTTATCATGAACAAAACGGATTACTTTGAGAAGATGAATACCATTCTTAATTAATATCAGTAAAAAGTTTGAGCATTGTGAATTAGATTAAATAAAGTGTAATTATATTTCAATAGTTTACACACAATGACAAGTTTTGTTATTGGTAATATTTCGAGCAAAATTACCAATAACAAAACTTATCATTGTGTGTAAACTATTGAAATATAATTATACTTTATTTGACCATTCTTAATGATAATCAAAAATTCCAAAAAATTTCCTCTTCTCTGGATCCGATTGAAAGGGCAGAGAAACAGCTAACGGAAACATTGAAACGACTGAAACAACAAGGCTTCATCTCACGGAGTCAGTACACATCCCTTAAACCCACTGGAACTTTTACACCAAGACTATATGGTTCGCCTAAAGTGCACAAAGGTGCCGCTTCGACCAGTATTAGATATGTTAATTTCGCCATACCATCCTGTAGCCAAATGGCTAGTCGAAATCTTACAGCCGCTTCATACTGAGTTGGTGAAACACAGTGTAAAGGATACTTTCGGATTTGTGGAAAGAATTAAAGATTTAAATGTTGACAATAAATTCATGATATCATTTGACGTATCTTCCTTATTTACCAATGTACCACTTATGGAAAAAGTGGACTTTGTATGCGAAGAAATCGAAAGACGAAACATCGATGTTGGCATTCCTTTATCTTTTATGAGAGAGAGCTTCTCTTGAAATGTACAATGAATGTCCACTTTTTATTTAATAAGGAACTATATAGACAAATTGACGGTGTGGCAATCGGGTCACCACTAGGACCCATCCTAGCCAACATTTTCCTTGCGAAACTAGAAAATGGGCCTCTGAAGGATGTTATTAGTGAACTCGAATTTTATTGTCGGTACATGGATGATACTTTTTTGATTATGAAAAACGAGAAGGAAGCAAAGAGCATCCTGGATAAATTTAATGAGGTACATATTGTAATAAATTTTACTATTGAGAAAGAAAAAGACTCTAGGATTTCATTTTTAGACGTTTTTATGAGTAGAAAAGAGGATGGCACAATAAGAAGAAGAAGTGTTTACATAGAAAACCTACATCAACGGGCCAGTACACACATTTTCTCAGTTTTGTACCCTTGAAATACAAACGCAATTTGATAAAGTGCCTAGTTCACAGAGCAAGAGCGATTTGCTCGGACGAATGTCTTGATGAGGAACTTTATTAAAATATTAAACGGTTTCTAAGTGAGAATGGTTATCCTGAAAAGTTTATTGATAAGAATATGAATTTGAAACCAAAGCAGCCGAAGTTACCAACAGTTCCAAAAAAGGCCTTATTCTTTCAGATGCAGTTCCTTGGGGACAACACTAGCGAGATACTAACACAGCGTATTAGAAATGCGGTAAAACGAGCATTCCGTGCTTCTGAATTACGTTGTATCTTTAAGACCACACCTCTTCTGCGTTCGGGAGTAAAAGAGAAACTGCCTAATTTCGCCTCTTCCATGTGTATCTACCAATTTAACTGCTCACGTGGAGTAAGCCAGTTACATAGGCCGTACAATTTGGCGTGTTTCTCGTCGAATTTCCGAACATCACCCTGCGTGGTTAAGCAAAGGACAAACAAAATCCATTCGTAGCGCTATTCTATCTCATCTTGTGGATAGGGAACACAAGATTGATGCCAACCATGCTTTCAGGGTCATTTACCGGATACCAACAAATCTCAACTCCGCCTTAAGAGTTCGATTACTAAATATTGCTGAGGCTGTGGGGATGCACATTAACAAGCTGAATTTATGCATCCAAAGAAGTTACTTCAGACATTATCATTACCTTGGCCATCCAGGTTTGAATAATCCTGAATTTTTTCGAATTTCCCTAATTTTAGTTGATATTCTATTCGCTATGAACTGTGATTGCATTGTGATCATACTTTACAAATCGATATTATTAAAAAAAATCACGAATATTGTTATTAACTACTAATCTAGAATTTATAATAATTATTATTTTGAGATTGTAAAGTTCAAGTGGTTGAAAACAGTCAGCATACCTCTGCTTCACTGAACTTTTTTTCCGCAATAAATTCTAAATAATTGACAGATCATTTTATTTCAGTATATAGATATGTGATACTACATTTGCCTCTTTCTACTTCATATTTTCACAGATTTTGAACTGCCGAATTTTCTATCGGAACTAATCTTCCAGCGAACACCTAAGCCTATTGTTTTTAAACAGACAATTGCAGTATTCGCAGTCACTTCATCAAATGATTCAAATACCCGATTGATTTACCCTGGCCACTTACTGGTCCACCGATTGTCTTAAACATCAATGCCTCTGAATTATCCGACTCCAGTTTGAAATCATTTTTATACACAGAAATTCGTCAATCTATTCATCAGACTACTCCATCGAACTATTCAATTCATCCGAGTCTGACAACAGCCATCCTGTTGATAAATATCAATCAACCGATAGTCATCCCATCAGCAGCAGCAGCAGCAACTGATGCCAACAATTATAATGATATTCCGTTTAGAAAAGATTTATGCTTAAAACATTTACGACTAATCCTATACTACTTATTACATCCATATTCACCTATACTTCAGCAGAGTATATCACGTCCAATGAAATTAGCCAATTCACCAGGAATCCATACTACTAATGATTTTGAATTAAGTCTTGCATATTGTCTTCCAAAAAACATTGCATCATCAAAAGATTGGAATAAAGCCCTATTTCTACCTGAAGGTTATTCAGATTATTGGAGTACAGAAAAATTGTATAGATTAGTTAATTTTTCTCTTGTCGTGAATGAATCTCATCTTCTCTGCCTTCTGGTTAGACCGTGTGAACATGCAAGATTTCTATCACATCCACCAATAGTAAAACAAGACATGAAATCATATACCTTGATCGAAAACAAGAAGACGAAGAAGAAAGATAACTTCTTATCCTCTGAGCTGTTTGTTCACGATTACCAATCATATACAAGAATATTTTTGAAATCTGGTCTACTTCATTCAATTGCGCAGTCAATTGTCAATCGTTTACTCAATACTCCTAATCGACTTAGAGGTGAAACAGCGGATCATCTGACGGGATTTTCATCAAAGCAGCAGTTGAGAAAGGCTACTAAACAGTTCAATGCTTGTATTATGTCATCATTAGATTGTATAAATACCTGGAGTCTATTGGATGACTGTGATATTGATAACATTATTAATAGTAATACTAATAATAAGTCATGTGTCATGTCATCTCTGCCTATGCATTGTATAATCGCCTATATCATTTTACTAAGATTAACTCACTATGATCTAACCTTGTTGAATATGATTGAATCACGTGGCTGTCATGTGATTTCAACGATAGCCAACCAACCAGGTTTAATGTATCTACCGAATTATTTAATTCAATTAGCAGCTAATCCAAACTGTTGTCCTACCTCTTCTTCACTATGCGATAGTAGTCATAGTAATAGGGATAGTAGTAGTATACTTGGCAATAATTCTGAAAATTCAACATACTCTAAGATTTTACCACTTCATTGTTTATGTCATTTCTATGAAAATGTGAGCAATGATGTTGGCGAGGTTTCCGTCTATGCCAGCTTAACATTACCAGGTTTACGTTGGGAGCATTTAAACTCTGGGGTATTACAACTTCTTCTAAGTTATATGTGTGTTCTCTCACGTGGATCGTGTTCATATTTACCGGATGCATTTGATACGGTTGAATTGAATGCTTATCTTTGTGCAAATCAACCAAACTGTGTTAATAATCATCAGCATTTGTTATCGTCGACAATTGAAACAATCAATTGTCTGTATACAAATCTAATAAAACCAGCCTGTTTAAACTTTGAAAGTGAATTGTTTCCTTCAACATCGTTATCATGTCAACAAACAGTATCTAGTATGAATAGTAAAACCAATAAATATCAATGGGATAATTTTCCATCATCGATAGCAACATCCACTTCGCATAAACCGGTTATTATTACCGCTTGGGCAAAAGGGACTGGATTTACAACAAATACGCCAACAGCAGCAACAACAATACTACCAACAATAGTTGGAGACGGGGATTCAACCAGTGCTCCTAACAATTCGTATTCTAAAATGACACAATCAAAAGTTGAACGTGAAGATCAGTATGCTATTGTATTATGCAATACTTTGAGTGGATTTCTTAATACATTTATGAATAGCAGATCGAATCATGATGGCGATAATGATAACGACGATGAATTATTCGGATCAATTGTTTCTTATTTTATGATGAAATTTAATCTAATCAACTTTATTATTAATTATCTACGTAATAATTCTATTGTTGAAATAGTCAGTCGTATTTCATTGTATAGATCTATATTTCGACTAATTCATAGTATTGCCTTATGCCCACAATTGCATTGGTTATTGATATTTGTTCAAGGAGATTTAGACAATAGGCTGATTGTAGAATATTCTTCTAAATTATTCAATGCATTTCAATCTTATTGGAGTGATGATACAACAAATGCGTCAATAATTGTGAATACTATCACTGATAATCATGATAATAATAATGAGGATGATTTGAATAAGTGTTTCAGCAATATTGATTCTTCGTGTGTTATTGCCTTATCAAAACAAATACTATCTTATTTGTCCAAATATATGGAACATTTAAAGTAAGTTGGATTGTTCCATATTAGTTTGTTTATTAGATGTATCACACAGTCAGTGAAACAGTATTATTATTTACTGGATGACAAGGTTTCGAACAGAGTTTATCATTGTTCATAATCATATCATCATTTGCGATCACACGACTTCGAAACTTGAGTGTTATAGTTTTCTTTGTTCTCTCCTATTTGTCGTCGTTGTGGTAGTAGAATCTTCCAGATATCTGGATGGACAGGTGTTGAATCATTCCTATTACATGTATTCACTCTCAGTTCATTCGATAAACAAAGCTTCTGTTATCCATCTCTCCATCAATTCACCCTGTTACATTAGCTTTTAAAACTGTCATCCTATTCCATCCTATTGTGTGGTGTCGTTGTGCGTAACTGCAAGTGGTATAGCTGAACTATTCTGTAGATTTCTTATCTTATCCAGGTCAACTAATCTAGATTTCGCTAGGTTTTTATGTTCGGCTAGTTTGACTGCCTCTGTTCTACTAGTCTGATCTATGTATTTGACCTGATAATCATTGCAGGTAGGGTATTAGATAAACTAAATTGTTTTGTTTTATTAGCTCCACAGGATCCTTTAACCGACAGTTTGTTTCTAATGTAATTTGTGGGTGGTTTCAATGCCAACCACTTTTATTTCTGCTTGCCTTTTAAGAATTGTGCGTAAGGTTTCCGAGGTTCCTTCCTTGTATGCAATTACTACGGATTATTTAGGTTCCTTATTGTTGGAATAAATACTAGCGTTGTCGTACAACTGTTGGATGAGGTGTATAATTGTTGGTTGCACCCCGTAGGTAACGAAGTAGTTTCCAGATCACCTCTGGATCGACGCTGTCGAAGGCCTTCTCAAAGTCGATGAAGTTGAGATAGAGAGGTGACTGCCATTCCAAGCTTTGTTCAGTGATGATCTGTAGTCTGGCGATTTGATCGATGTAGTTTGAATAAGTATCCTTTCTTCCACTCCTCGGGCACTTTGCCCTCTTTCCACACCTTCTCCAGTAGTGACGTCATCAAGTCCGCTGATGTCTTTGAATCCATCTTCAAGGCCTCTGCTATGATTCCGTTTGGTCCTGCTGCTTTTCCAGCTTTTAGCATCTTGATTGCCTTTAGGACTTCTGTTTTCCTCGGGGGGTTGATTTTCACTGGTAGTTCTGCTTCCGCTGTTGATATTATTGGGCGCGTTGTAGTTGGCGGTCGATTTAGAAGTCTTTTGTAGTGTTCAGCCCAGTGTTTCCTTGGCTCCACCTCTTTGGTGATTGACTTTCCATTGTCATCCTTCACTGGCTTAATTTTTATTGAAATTTTCCCCGATAGGAACCTAATTGTTTGAAAGAGTGTTGCGGGGTCTCTTTTGCCTGTACTGTAGTTTGTTCTGCTTCATTTGCCTTAGCTTCATAATATTTTCTGTCTTCCCTGGCCCTTTTCCATACTCTTTTGATCAGTGTATTGTAGTTTGCATTCAACTCTTGTTTATGTTGCCCGTCGATGCACTGGATAATTTATTGTTTCACCATCCATGTGTCTATAGTGAGCTACTGTTTGTCGTGTCTCTTCAGTGTGCCTAGAACTTCCATGCAGGACATTTGAAATTTAATTAAGCCATTTGATGTAATCTAAAGAATGATTATTATCATGCATGTTTTCAAAATATAATTGTTATCTTATTCTCTTCTTTTTTTGTTGTTCACAGTAAACTAGGATTAAATAAGTCTGTTGGATCAGATTATCTTTCAGGAGAACAGTCTACACTTAAAACGCCTAAAACCGAAGTGATTGCACAACCTGCTAACAAACCTAGTAAAGGTTTAACTCGTCAACCATCTATACGTTATCGTACCGGTCTAAAGAAAACTAGTGGAAACTTCACAAAGACTCCTAATAATAATACTAATTCATTGCTGACTGGAAGCGTCTTGTCAAATTCTGAATTTGATGATGACACATCCAATTTGGAATCATCATTTAATAATCATCATCACCAGACAATCATCAAAACTTGTAGTCTGCTACAGCTGAAATCTGGTTTCTTTGATCTTTTGGATGAAACTAGTGATGAAAGCGGCGATGGTACACTATCGACTGTGACAGAAACTGATGAAAAACACAATGAAGAGGGCAATGGTGTTTTGAAGCAGTCTGTTGAAGAGTTATCCGACAATATTGGTGTTGGTGATAATAATAATAACAATGGTCGATCCCAGACTATTGAACCAGTGCAGGTAAATGGATCCAATGAAAGCAATAATGATTTACCTAATGGTTCATCTCATTGTGAACAATTGAATAATAACAATGAACTGAACAATAAATCTTCGAGTATAGTTTACAATAAATCGAGTAATTCAATCTATGTTAATCAACATTTACTGATTACGCTGAATGAATTGAAGAATACATTTAAAATATTAAAAATTATATTAATGTATCAACAGTTATCTGTTGTAAATAAAGATTTCGATCACGATGTCAATAGTTCCGAAGATCAATCATCTACAGACGGTCAGACTAGAAGTGGTAGTGGAATACCAAACAGTCAAGTCGTGCCAATAAGTTCAAGTACATCTTCAACTAATCAAGATTATTGCTTAGCTTTGAAAAGTATACAATTTTGTAAGTTCATTACTCATACATTTGATATTATTACTATTATCATAATTATTGTTCCTTTGGGTTCCTAGTGGAACATAGGGCTTCAACACTATACCTCCGCTTTGTTCTGTACACTTCAGTCCTCTTTACCTGCTGGCTCTACGACTGCCCATAAACTTTCATTTCCTCCTCACATGATCTCCTGTATGTGTCACCCTTGGACTCCCAACTCGTCGTTGCCCATTCAAGTTCCACTCGAGAAATAGTCTGGTGCGTGTTATGTCACTCAACAGTCTCTTCAGTATGTGTCGCGGAAAACATGAAAAGATTAGCTGTCTTTGATCATAGGTGCCTTCGCTCTATCTCCCGTGTGAAGTGGTATAATATGGTGAGTAATATCGAGGTTAAGCATCGGTCGAGTGGTAGGTAGGTGGGAGGGGAAATCAATCGACGAGGCTGTGAAATAGCTGCATCGACTGAGATAGTTAGGGCATGTGTTACGCATGTATGCCTAGTCATCGCCTTCCTCGACTGACGGACAATGTTATCTGACGTAGGGTCAGGATGGAAAAGAGCCAGCGGCGGTCAAACCAAAACATGGTACGAGTCAATGGAATCCACAACAGTTAGTTGAAGCCAGCCAGCCAGTCATGTAGGGAGGTGTAGACTGGCTTCCTGGTTGGTGTCCTCTGGACGGTAAAAGCCAATGGCAATCACTAGAAACTATTGGTGATATGGTTAAAAATCTTTCTCAATAGCTGGCTGGTGTAGATGCATCCACTCCTTATGACTTATGATTTCCAATGAAACTATATTGTTCTTCGTTACTATTACTATTCCTTTGTCTCACACCTCTGTTTACTGTCTCTATTATATATTTCTTCTAATTTCTTTTGCTTTGTGTGGTACATGGGGGGAGTGTGGCGACTTGAACTGGTGCACATCGGTGCAAAGTTCTATGTTGAAAACAGACAGACAGTCAGTATGTGTCGTCTGATTCATCTCCATTATCTTTGTAATATTTTCTGAGTAATAGGATCTTGATTGCTTTTATTCGTAGAGTTTCTTGTAAGATAAATTTGTTATAAAAATTGTGATTTATGCTTTCTCTTCGTGGTAGCTTCGTATAATCAATATCATTAGTAATTAAGGAATAAGCGTGTACTCAAGTTGGTTACGTAACAGATTGTTAAAGAAAAATAGAAAGGATTTGGACACTGATAATTTGTCATGGAAGATGAATTAGTCAGGAAAATAATAAAATAATTTGGACAATTATAATTTTTAAAGGTTTAGAGCGAGGAAGGACGAAGTAGTCCAGCTTATACATTCATGTAAGTATGGCCAAGGTAAGGAAAGTAGCTGTACAAACCTCTTTTGAACACACACACACACCGGTTAAACTTCTTCAGATGGATTCCTATGGCTTAAGTTGTATGTAGTCGACGAATTCGTAAAGCAAAATTAATGCATTATATTTGTTTGTCTTTTTTGTTTAACTGTTACCCTCTGATTCTGTCTGATAAGTATTCATGCATTCATTGTTGTTATCATTGTTATTTTAGGCATGATGAAGTTCTTATCAGTTTCAGAAAAGAATACTGTATCTTTGCTAGTACCACATGCATACGCTGATTTATGTACTAAACATGAAGGTTTAGTTTTACTGAATCGTAATATAAAAAAGTCGCCTGATAGTGGCGATACATCATCCACTTCTGCTGTTGTGCCTTCTGTTCCTGCTTCTGCTGCATTATCATCTAGTGATCTTAAAAAACCATCGTCGTCATCAAAATTACAAGTAACACCAAAGAATCGATCATTGGATTGTTTACAACGCCTTGCTCAAGAAGTTGTCACATTGAGTACTAGTCTTCCATTATCAGAAAATGCCAGCGTGTTTATGCGATGTGATGAAAATCATTTATGTTTAATCAAGGTAAGGTGGTGGTATTATTATTATTATATTATTGTTCCCTTGGGTTCCTAGTGGAACATAGGACTTCAACTTCACGTCTCCATTTGCTTCTGCCTTCCTCTGCTGTACTTTTCACCTGCATCCATGTTACTCCATACTGTTTCAACTCCTCGTCATACGATCTCCTGCATGTCACCCTTGCACTGACGACCCACCCACCGCTTCCCTTTCGGCCTGGTTCCACTCGACCAATGGCTTGACGCGCGATGTCACCCAGCGGCCTCCTCAGCCAGTGTCCAATCCACCTCCACTTTCTCCTGCATATTCGTTGGGCGATTAATTATAGATTGACTCCACGCTGTATTATTGGTACGAGCATGGAATTTTCAGCATGTGTTATCGGTAACCCAGTTTTTGCAGAGCGACCATTGATATCGGGTGTGCGTCGGTAGGGGATCGAACCCCGGACCATGTACATGGTCGGCGGGCGTGCTAACCGCTGTGCCACTGACGCTTGTGTCGTTTCCATTGATTAGTATGATTGCCTTGGATTGCTAGTGGAACATAGGGATTCAACAACTCATCGCCACTTTTTTCTATCCTTCGTGGTTCTCTTTAGCTGGCCGTATGATTGCCCATAGTCTCTCCTCCTTGTCACACTCTCGAACACCCCACTCGTTGTTTTCTACTCGGATTTCACTGGAGCGATGACCTGATGTGAGATGTAACTCAGCCATCTCCTCAGAGTATGTCCGATGCACCTCTCTAATGACAGTAGACAAGGGCCAGGCAACAGATCGTTTATTAAGGAAATCAACACATATTTATAGATTTTCATGTACATTATTATAGATTAGTGTTAGCAGAAAGGCACAGCCTTCTCATTGGTTGTTTCTCACTGAAAGTTAACCTTTCATCTCTTTGTGGCTGTTTCTTGAATGTCAGATCATCTATATACTAACTGTATCCGCCTACGCAAACCCTCTCCTCATTTTTCTCACGACCAATATTGGCGACATAAACATTGACGTAAATTACTGTCCACCAATTTTGGCTAACAGCCAGCTCTCACCACACCTCTACTTTCTTCCAAATATTTGTTGGGCGATAGGTTGCTGGTTGGTTTGTCCCACTTCAGAGTTTCTTGCTGACGACGCTTTCTGACCATTTGATCTTCAAATTTTGAGCAAGTGAAGGCAGATGTTGAAGATTCTTTTCGCTCCGCGCCAATTTCCCCACTTATATAGAAGGAATGACTTACTTAACATTTGTGTTTAAAATTCAAATCTTGTTTTAACAGCATCGCTGTGACACCTCGTCAGCCAGTTCGCTCCAGTAAGGCTGAATATCAGATATGACATTTGTTGTGAATGTCTATGAACATGGAGGATCACAGAGAGTGGATTCATCTGCACCACTTAGAACGAATTTGAGCGAAATCACTAGTTTTCTCAAGCCATTGGTTCTTTGCATCCTGAGGACCCCAACCAGACAGTCTACCTCCCCCTACACGGCTCAGACCATATATCAAAATTGACTCGGACTGATTTCAAGTTTTCGTTCGACCCCCACCCCGCCAACTCTTGTCTAACCTAATCATATGTCAGCTAACGTTGCTCGTCGAAGGTGATGGCTGGGAATACGCAACACATACTCTAAACATCTCAATCGATTGATTTTACCTCCTTAACTAACACTCACCCAAAGCTTAACCTCAATATTACTCACCTTATTATACCACTCAATATGTTAGATAGAATGCAAACATCTGTGATCAAAAACAGTTAACCTTATTCATGTGTTCCACTTTCAATAACCATGTTTCACATACATAAAGGAGGACTGGACGAAGTGATACTGTGCAGTACACGCATCCTTTGACTGAAAACCAGTCAGATATCACGTCTATCGATATCGTGATAGTTCATTTATATGAGTATAGAGTTATAAGTAATGAGGAACTGACTACAGTAAGTTCTCTTGATTCACACAGTATCACATATCACATGTATCATTTCCAATAAATCTGATTTTCAGAGTAGAGACGAGTTATACCAAAGTTATATCTGGTATCATCCAACTCATTGTTACCACCTTTCCAACAAGTGTTTATTTTAATCCTTTTCTTTCCTCTCTCTCTCTCTCTCTCAAATAGGCAATAATTACTGGTCCACCGGATACACCTTATTCAGGTGGTTGTTTTGAATTCGATATATACATTCCACCAAGTTATCCAAGCCAACCTCCGTTGGTTGAATTTCGTACAACAGCAAAAAATACATTCCGATTTAATCCAAATCTTTATGAAGATGGTAAGGTATGCCTGTCAATATTGAATACATGGCATGGATCTGCTGAAGAACGATGGAATCCTGAAACATCCAGTTTATTACAAGTACGAGTTGTATTTCATGCTTATTAAAATGTCTATTTATTACTTCTACCTTTCTTTTCTGTTTTATAAATTGAAGATACTTTTAAAAATTAGTGGGACTTTGTTTTATTTTTATCAAGTTAGAGAACCACTAACTGATGTCAGCTCATGACGAAATCCTCCATGCGATCAAATAAAATCCCTACAAAAAACACCAATACCTGAAAATTCATCTGATGCTCACTAACGACTGGCCCTATTCAGGCAGTTAACCTGAGGTTCTAGTTGGAAGCCGTGACCAGTAGAGTACAGCAGGTTGAAGATGAGGCAGTAACTCATCTAAGAAGACACTGCGAAATGGTCGCGCTATGTCGTGAATCGACAGAAGTTAGAATTCATGGGCTGGCCATTGGATCGGGACCCAGTGGCTGGTGAATGGTCTACGAGCTCGCCTTGTAACCAGAAGGTCCTGGGTTCGAACCGTGGCGGTGGGTGCGTACTGATGAAGAGTCCCGAACACTAGGACGAAACGGCTATCCAGTACTCCCTGCAGGTTTTACAATGGTTCTCTAGCTAATGTCAGCTCATGATGAAATCCTCTATTTAATTTTTGTGATTAGGTAATATCTATTTTCGGTACTTTTTTTCATTTATTTCAATGTGGACTTATAAACATATGCGTTAGGTGATAAGAAGTTTCATTATCCATAGCTAATAAGATAAGTAACCGTAACTTAGACACTACCCAAAACTCACTTATTATTATTATTGTTATTCCTTTGAGTTCTGAGTGTAACATAGGGCTTCAACACATCTTTCTTCTGTCCTTTCCTCTGAAGTCCTCTTTAACCGACTTCACAATTCTCCATAAGCTCTCATCTCCTCCTGACACCATTTCCTCCATGTCAACCTCGGCGAATATTTGTTTGGCAATAAGTTCTTGTTTGCTTCATTCCCAGAGTTCCTTGCTGTAAATTCTTTCTGGTCGGCTATTTGATCTTCAGTATGCGGAACCAACGAAGATAGCTGTCAATTAAAAGTTACAACCTGTGCGAAATGCTTTTCGTGACTCACTTGTCATGTTGCTTGACCCATATAGAAGAACTGACTAACACTTAATATTTGTGTTTAAGATTCGAATTTTGTTCTTTATGTTGAGTTCAGAGAATTTCCAAACTTTTTTTTTGGAGTGATAAAGTTCTGTCTTGCCTTTGCAATGCCGGCTGACTTTAACATCTTCATCCATGATGTCGCTGCCTGTAGTTGAAACTATGGTGCCGAGATAAGTGAAGGAATTGACCTCTCTCTCTCAAATTTCTCCCGTTGATAGTGATAGACGCTTGATGCGTTGACTGCTTCTCTTATTTCAGAAGTGCCATCAACCAGTGCCAACGGGTTGATCTCTGACGAAATCTCAGCACGGATACACAGATGGTTAGTTTCGCATATGCCAGTTTATGCCGTCTCTAGCGTAGACGTGATATCCGGCTGGCCACCAGCCAAAGGGCGGGTGTACTACTCATCAGTCCGCTCCGTCCTCCTTTATGGCTAGCTGTGGCCATTGGGAGTGGAAAACATGAAAAGCCTGGTTAGTTGTCCTTAATCATAGGTGCCTTCGCTCTATCTCCCGTGTGAAGTGGTATAATAGGGTGAGCAATATCGAGGTTAAGCATCGGTCGAGTGGTAGGTAGGTGGGAGGAGAAATCAATCGATGAGGTTGTGAAATAGCTACATCGACTAAGATAGTTAGGACATGTGTTATACACGCATCCCTAGTCATCGCCTTCCTCGACCGAAGAGTAATGTTACCTGACATAGGATTGGTCAGGCTGGAAAAGAGCTAGCCAGTGGTGGTCGAATCAAAACATGGCTTCATCAGTCAATGAAATCCACAATAGTTAGTTTAAGCCAGCCAGTCACGTAGGTAGGTGTAGACTTTCTAACTGATTGGGGTCATCGGGACGGTAAAAGCCAATGGCAATCGCTGGAAACTATTGGTGATATGGTTAAAAATCTTTCTCAATAGCTGGCTGGTGTAGATGCATCCACTCCTTGTGACTTATGATTTCCAATGAAACTATATTGTTCTTCGTTATTACTATTCCTTTGTCTCACACCTCTGTTTACTGTCTCTGTTGTGCGTCTCTTTTTACTTTCTTCTTTTCCTTTGTGTGGTACATGGAGGGAGTGTGGTGGCTTGAACTGGTGCACATCGGTGCAAAGTTCTATGTTGAAAACAGACAGACAGGTGCTTGTTGTTGTTGTTGTGGTTGGTTGGTTATCTTCATCGCCTCCGTCGTGTCTATGTTCTCTTAAAGTCTTGTCTTCTCCCCACAGACTAATGAATAATCCAGTCCTCTACAATTAAGCATATCATCCATGATAGTAGGTAGTCTTGTCTTACTCGTGTATTCACTCATTTCAAAGGCTTCACTAAGTTTTCCCTTGTGGATCGCCAGATATATAGCTGTTGGATGAGGTCGATGAAGATTCAGACCCTGCACGCCTTTATGCTGAAGGCCTTTTCAAAGTCAGGGAAGTCGATGTAGAGATTTGATTGCTAACTTAATCTTCTGATAATATGTCTGTAACTATAGTGTGTTTCGCTTCACGAAAGCAGATAGCACTTTTGTGTGAAATCGACAGTATTGTGTGCTGCCTGCACTCCACCACATATATATCTTTTGAACTAATCAAAAAGTCTTTGTGTGGGTAGGCTTTTCTGAACACCGGTTGGTGAATTTTCAGTTATACAACAAAAGTAGACAAAACTGCTAGGTCACTTATTGTATTTTTTTCCCAATAACACTGATTCAGTTGAAATGCCCGAAGTGCTATCGCTTTTTGGCTGAAAGTCGAAACCAGCGGCTGTCATTCTTCAGCTACTTCTTTGTTCCTGTAAAAATTAATTTTCATTTGATTGTGTCGGATGGCGTTGCTCAGTTTCTGTTGGTATATTAGCCCTTAGTATGGACACTTCGACGATACCTGAAAATTAACATAATATTATTTTGCTTGATGATGACCTAATAGTGGAATCCAGAATACTCATTCTATCCTATTTGGGACTAGTCAGCTGGCTGTTCTTCCATTGGGACTCGACCCTTGGAAACGTCTCTGACTGCAGCACTAGGTGATCATGATTCAAATCTCAGAAGAGTCTTGAGGTTTCCTTCAAGATCTCAGGTACACCCTTCCAACTGATGAGTGCCAACAAGTACGAAACCCAGGTCAATGAAAGCTTCCTGGCGATTACCGTCAACTATCTAACAGTAATCATAATTCTTTGTGAATATATCTTTGGAATTTACCTTCCAAATCACTTTGGGACTCTTGAATTATATATCTTTTCTAAAAATATCCTATTGAAATCTTTCAATCTCTACTGAAATCTCTACAGAAAGCCAACGTGGAACGGACAGCTCACTAACTTCCACAGTTGGGTGCCTCTTTATACTAAACGAAACTTAATCCGTTCACTAAGCCACAGAATACGTAGAATTTGCAGCCTGGATGCCATAGAAGACGAAATGAACACTCTTAAGAAAATCCTCCTTGAAAATGGCTATCCAGAAAGATTTATCACAAAATCAATGAAACCCAGACCAGAGAAGCCGCCAACACTCAGTGCTCCAAAAAGACTCCTCTACATGAACCTACAGTTCAATGGAGACCAATCTACAGAAATACTGAGAAATCGGCTCTCCCGCTCATTGAAGAAAACCTTCCCTGCAGCTGAGTTACGACTGACGTTTTCCACGAGACCAATGATTCGTATGAACGTGAAGGATAAGCTACCGCTGTTGGCCTCATCTATGTGCATCTACCAATTCACCTGCTCGTGTGGAGCCAGGTATATCGGCCGTACTCAGCGTTCGCTATCCAAACGCGTCAACGAACATTTACCTTCATGGTTTTATAAAGGAGAAAACCGATGCCCTCGCAGCTCGATCCTTGAACATTTGATCGACTCTGGATACCAAGTCAAACCAGAAACAAACTTCAAAGTTATCTACAGAATACAAGGCAATCTTGCTAAAAGTGTACGGATCAAACTTCTCCACATCGCAGAAGCAATGGCAATTCATCTGCTAAATCCTGAACTCTGCATACAAAAGAAATTCGTTCATTCATTAAATCTACAATGGACGTAATCTTTCTTAATTTCAGTCTTACTAATTGTATTATTTTATCTTTTTCATCTTATTTTATCATTTTATTATTTCACATCTTCATTTATATTATTCTCTACCCCACCCTTTTGTAATTTCTACCCTCATTAACAATGTTGCTAACTTGACCCACTTCCAATTTCTAGTCAACTATGTTACGTCACCCGACTAACTTACTTATTTTCAACTGTATTATTCTCTAACCGCACCCTTATTTAATTGTAACCACCACTCATTAACACTGTTGCCAACCTGACCTACTCTGAATTCTACTCAACTGTATTACGCCATCCAATTCACTTAATCAATTCTATTTTATTTTCTATCTTAACGTTTGTCTCCAAGCCAAATAATAATTACATTACATAATTATCTAAACTTTATAAATCTAATATACACACACACAAACAAATTTGTATATATATGCGATTGTACAGCTCAGTGAATGAATTCGCCGAAAAGAGTCTCTTCGCTGAACGCTTTCTTTTCTTTTATATCTACTGAAATAGTTGTCCAACACTTGTTAATTTTTATCACTCCACAGATTGATGTCACTGTCTGTCGAAAAGTACTTAAGGATGAGATTTTATGTGAACGTGTTTTTGTAGTGACCACAGCCTACGCGTTATAGGCTAAACTCAGTCTGTACTGATCAAGACTTCCTCAGTCACAGTCACAAAATGCTCTGATAACAACAACAACAATAAGCAGTAGTTTGCCGCAAAATCTGTGGTACTATTCAATAATCAGGATATATCAAAACGTAAAATCTCCCCCCCCCGCCCCAACAGTACCGTTTGGCAGCTATACAGATCTGATAGTTTCTCGAGTACAAAACAAGTACACTATACAACAGAATTTTTATTTATTTATCCAAAATCAGTTGTAAGAAGTACCGGTGAATCTATAAGAATATTCCCAACAAGGAGGGAGTAAAACTCTGTCCACGAGAGAATCATACACCAAACAATTCTCGCAGATAGTCCATGGTTAAAAATCATCTTGATTCCATCAAACAGAACAAACAGAGTTGGAGCTATATGCTCAGAAGAAGTAAGTGAAGATGAATTAAGCATTGTATATGATACTTTGATCGAAAATATGGCTATCCCGAAAAATTTATCAAGAAACACATGACAAGGAAAACGGAAAAGGACAACTCACTATCTGTAAAAACATAAGCCACCTTATATACGACTACAATTCATGGGCGATATACCAAGTGAGATAATTACGAGGAAATTAAGAAAATCAGTTCAAAGAACTTTTAATGCTGACGAACTCCATGTATTATTCTCTACACGACCGATGATTTTACCTCGACTGAAAGATGTAGTACCTAGACTAGACTAGCCACTTCAAATTGTATCTATCAATTCAACTGTGCTTGTGGAGCCAGTTATATTGGCCGTTGCTCTAGGAACGTGATTTTTCGTCCTCACTCGAGAACATCACCCACTATGGCTAAGTAAATGTGTAGTGAAAACCATTAACAGTTCGATATTGGACCATCTGGTGCAAACCGACTGGCCACAAAGCCAGCTTGGAAGAATCCTTTCTATCATCATCAACCGGGTGCCTAATAAATTGCCAAAAATCATCGAAGCACCCCATGCTCTAAACAGCAGAGGCTATTGCAGTTCGCCTCAAACAACCAGTGCTCTGTGTACAAAAGAAGCAAGTCCAGCTAGGCACTACTACTGCCCTGGCTGGCCTTCAGTAGAAACTATAAACTCATGAATTTGTAATATCATCTTTCCTAATTTTTCTGACATTCAGCTTATTTTATGTTGATGCTATTGATCTGTAATCCATCGATATTATTGATTCCATGTTATTTAAACAGCAACACTAATGTTGTTCATAACACTGGTTCATCCATTCACTATAATGTATATATAACTGTAGAGCCTGATGATGAAGGGGTTATCGAAAAGAGTACTCTTTGTTCACTATCCATTCTTTTGAAAAATTTTAATGGGCATTTTTAATCAGTTAGAATCTTAGTCAACAACATGTTGTCAGTATATCACACAAACACAGAGAGAGAGAGAGAAGCATTAAAATTAGAGATTAAACAGGAATAAAGACAAATAATAAGGATCAAAGGTTACATATGATATGTGGATGTCAGAACATTGATGTATACAGTGTAGGAGGGAAAAAATGGATGATAATTACAAAGTTAGTTTTTTAAAAAAAATATCCAAATAAGTATTAATATTGTAATTAGCCCGTTCAGGAAACGATTTTCCATACAATTATTTCGTTAGAGTTGCTGTTGTAACTACAGAAGACAAGGGCCAGGCAACAGGTCTTTTATTGAGGAAATCAAGAGGTATTTATATATTTTCATGTATATTATTATATGTTATTATTGGCAGAGAACGCCGTATTTCTGATTGGGTGTTTTCTCACTGGAAGTTATTCTGTCATCTCTTTGTGGCCATTTCTCTGAAGGTCAGACCATATATCTACTAATCGTGTCCGCCCACGTAAAGTCTGCTGTTATTAATTGTTGAGTTAGTCTTTGTTCTTGTGTTTTCTCCCATGACCAAGATTTGGGACTTAAACATTGACGTAAATTGCTGCTGTCTACCAATTTTGGCTTTCACCAACATTGTAATTCTCTTTTACAGTTACCGTAATTTATTTTTTTTGTATGCCTTACATGGTATTTTTTTTTTACTGATTTCTTAGGTATTGGTATCTATTCAATCATTGATTTTTGTACATGAACCGTACTTCAATGAACCTGGTTTTGAATGTACTATGGGCACACCGAAAGGTATTGCTATCAGTTATAAATACAATGCTCGAATTCGTGCTGCTACTGTTCGTTGGGCTATGATTAATCAGTTAAAACATTTACCAGTTGGCTTTGAAGAAGTAAGAATATGTGTAAACGCCTTTTCTTTTGATTGGATAATTTCTTTTTAACAACTGATTTTACAACAGTTAACTACACCTATGTTCTGCCTATGTGCGTGCGTTGGTGGCATAGCGATTAGGACACTCATTGACCATGCATATGGTCCAGGGTTCGATCCCCGGCCACGGACTCACCGCTTTACCTACCTCTCTAAGCCGGTGATAAAAAGCTGGTAAAGAGGAAAGGTTGGGCATGAGGCTAGCAATCCCATCTTGTAAAAATAAACACTGCTCCTATGTTCCACTGGGAACTTGAAGGAATAACCAAATGTATACCTATTTATTCTGAAAGACTTTAACTGACATCTCTTTGAGTGTGTAGCTGTTATGTTTTTGAAGCATAAGTTTTTAAGGATTTGGTATATTTCAAATTTGATCACGAATTAACAGTTTGAAAACTATGAAGCACTGAACAGCTATTTCATCCAGATATGGGACTCATCATTGGTACGCACCCGCACTCTTCCGGTTACAAGGCAGGCTCATAGACTGTTCAGCCACTGGGACCCGATCCAATGCCCCATAAATTTCTACTTCTGTTTATTTATGATTTTACCCCAACCACCAATGAATGTCATCGGAGGGTATATTTGTACTCACACTTGATGACGTCAGTGGACCATAATAGAACTCTGTCTCTGTCTGTCTGTTTTTGACATAGAACTTTGCACAAACGTGCGGAAGTTCAAGTCGCCACACTCCGTGTAGCACGTGAAGCAAGAGAAGAAAGTACAAGAAAAGCGTAATAGAGACAGTAAGCAGAGGTGTGAGACAAATGAAGAGTAATAACGAAAAACAAAACAGTTTCATTGGAAATCATAAGTCACAAGGAGTGGATGCATCTGCGCCACTGAGAACGATTTTTAGCCATGTCACCAATTGTTTCCAACCATAGATTTTTACCGTCCCGAGGACCCCAGCCTGGAAGTCTACACCTTCCTACGTGGCTTAGACCAACTGTTGTAGATTTCATTGACTGGTGCCAAGTTTTTGTTTGACCGCCGCTAGCTTTTTTCCAGCCTGACCCTATATCCGCTAACATAGCTCGTCGAGGGAGGCGATGACTAGGCATTGATGCGTAACACATGTCCTAACCATCTCAGTCTTTGTAACTTCACGACTTCGTCGATTGATTTCCCCTGTTTACCTAGAACTCGACACCTAACCTCAATGTTCCTCACCTTATTATGCCACTTCACACGGGAAATAGAGTGCAGGCACCTATGATCAAAGATAGCTAGTCTTTTCATGTCTTCCACTCTCAGTGGCCAGGTCTCACAGCTGGTCATAAAGGAGGACGGAGTGGACTGATGAGCAGTACACCCGCCCTTTGGTCGATAGTCGAACATCTTGTCTACACCAGAGTCGGCGTAAACTAGCAAATGCGAAACGAGCCCCCTGTATTCGTGCTGAGATTTCGTCAGAGATCAGCCCGTTGGCACTGGCTGATGGTACTTCCCAAATAAGTGAAGCGGTCAACGTGCTCTACCACTTCACTTCCTATTTTTAAACTAGGCGTCGATGTAGTCCAGTCCTGTAACATCATCTTGCATTTGGCGGGAGCGAATCGCATGTCAAACATTCGTAGATTGCGGCTCAAGGTGTTTAGAAGACTCTGCATTTTGTCAGAGTCGTCGCCTAGAAGGACTATATCATCCGCGTGGATATTCCAAGTCAACGAGATTATTCCCCGGTAGCAAGTGAATCCCTGAGTCGCTGAAGTCACTTAGGGTTAAGTCAATTAGTACATCTATGATGAAGTTGAATAGAAAAGGGGATTAACTCTAGTTAACTTTTTCCGGTAACCAGTCACTTGTGAGCATCTCTTCTTTGAAAAAAAGTTCTATTGTGCTCTATAGACCTTGAAAAGTATCTTGTTTTACTTTTTCAACAAGCTTCCCTAATGGTTGCTATGATCACACCTTGAGTGAGTGTATAAGTTGTATAGCGAAAACAAATTTACTGCGCCTTTTCCATTCCTGCCCACTTCAGTGAATAATGTTAAAGCATACATCCCCAAAATATCCCATTTTGAATGTATTCCACAAGGATACAAATAAAGACGAATTCATTTCTGATGCATTAGGCCACATATCCTAGCATGTAGCTGTGAATAAGGTAAATCCAAAGGTGAGTATTGGATATCGACTGCCTCATCCGAACTGATAGATGCTAGAAGACTTATTCCGGAGAGCTCCGAATTCAATGAGGAGCGAAAGCTGCACAAAAGGAAACTTACTAAAAGTCTCCGAAAGGACCGTGAACAGTGGTGGCTGACAAAGGCAAAAGAGATGGAAAAAGCATCTGCGATAGGCAACACTAGGCAACTCTTTGGACTCATCAGGGAAACAGGTGGGAGAAGGCAAATCATATGTGAGACTATTTCTGAGAAAATGGATCATTAATTAGCTCCCAGGATAGACGACTGGAACGCTGGAAAGAACACTTTGAGGGACAATTTAACTTGCCTACAGCCACACTGAACCTCCCCCACCCAATCCAGCACACACCCGAATGGGATATAGACACTGGTCCGCCGTCTGTAAGTGAGGTTACAAAAGCTATCAGTAATTTGAAACGAGGCAAAGCGGCAGGACCCGACGGAATTATTCCGGAGGTGTTTAAATATGGGGGTGACATACTAGTTTGTAGATTAATTAACTGAGGTACTAGGCAAAGTCTGGGAATCAGAGACAGTGCCATCAGACTGGGGTAAGTCACTTATTATACCGATATTCAAGAAGGAAAACAAGTCCTCGTGTGATAATCATAGAGGAATCAGCCTAACGAACATAGTTTCTAAGGTCCTAGGCTCAGTAATCATGCATAGACTAAGCAGAACTCGGGAGGAACAGACGAGGGAAAATCAAGCAGGCTTTAGACCAGGTAGAGAGAGGATGCATAGATCATATCTTCACTCATGTAGCCGTGTAAGGGCTTATGGGGAATTGTCATCTGAATTGGTAACAACCAGTGGTGTCCGACAGGGATGTCCACTTTCCCCATTTCTGTTTAACTTCATCATAGATATCCTGATGGAAGTATCCTTAACTGAACGTAACGACTTAGGAATCGACTTGTTACCAGGGAATAGTCTTATGGACTTAGAATATGCAGATGACATAGTCCTGTTAGGGGAGGATGATGACTAAATAGCAGAGTCTTCTGAACACCTTGAGTAGCGATCTTCGTATGTTTGGCATGAGATTCGCCCCTGTAAAATGCAAGATGCTGGCTGCTACAGGACTGGACCACGTCAACTCCTAACTTAGTGATAGGGAGTGAAGTGATAGAACATGTTGACCACTTCACCTATTTGGGAAGTTGTATTAGCACCAACGAACTGATTGGCGATGAAATCTCAGCACGGATCCGAAAAGCTCGAGCTGCTTTCGCTGACTTACACCATCTCTGGAGTAGGGGTGACATCCGGCTATCAACCAAGGGATGTGTATACTGCTCAGAAGTTCGCTCCCTCCTTCTCTATGGCTCTGAAACATGGCCAATACGAGTTGAAGACATGAAAAGGTTGACTGGTTTCGATCATAGATGTCTGCGATCTCTGTCTCACGTTATGTGGTTTAATAAGGTAAGTAATGTTGACGTTAGGCGTAGAGTGTTGGGCAAAGAGGGAAAATCAATCGACGAGGCTATAAAGTCACATAGATTGAGACGGCTAGGTCAGGTGGTGCGCATGCCCAACCACCGCCTCCCCCGACGGGCATTGCTAGCTGATATAGGTGGTGCAGGTTGGAAAAGACTAGTGAAGTGGTGGCCAAACAAAAACATGGCCTCATCAATCCATGAAATCCTTGACAGTTAAACTGAGTTAGGTAGGGAGATGCAGACTTTCGGGTTGGGGCCCTCGGGACCCTAAGAATCAGTGGCTGGAGACAATGGGTGACATGGCTCAAAATCATGGTCAATGGCGCAGATGTATTCAGTCTCTGTAATCTTTCATATTCCTTTCTACCATAACCCATTCTGTTTCACTCTTATACTTGTCAAACTCTATTGATTCTCTTCACTCATCTTCTTGTCTACCTCTGTGTGCTATTTGGAAGGTGGCAGCTGGAACTGGTGCACTTCGGTGCCAAGTTCTATGTTGAATCCAGACAAACATACAGATAACTATCAGGGTGCAATTTTGTGTGTTTGTTCAACTCTTAATCCTGCTGCTGTTTCAGACTTATAAGTCCTTTCCCATTGAAACTGGGGGATTTTGAGATATGCATCATTTAACATCATTTTACTTGAATGGGCGGTAAAATAGAGATGGTGAATTACAACGATTTGATAAATTTCTTCAGTTAGTGTTGGTCTTTTATGATTTTCATTAATTTAAATCTTCCCATTATGATAATTATAAAACATGATTTGAGCATGCAAATACGTGCTTTCGATGAATTTTTCATCAGACCTTACAATTACGAGATAAAATATTAGTCATAGGCATTATCATATAGGCATCAAATATTAAATATTCTCATGGTAAAATTTAAAACAACACATGTAAGAGAACAAAATTGTTTCTTTCAAATCAAGTCTCATCAGGCTTAACTCTAATATAATTCAGGCAGTCACCTGGGGTTCTAGTGGGAAGCCGTGACCAGTAGGGTGCAACAGATTGAAGGTGAGGACAAGTTATTCATCGAAGACATTGATAAGTAGTCGCGCTATGTCGTGGATTGGCAGAAGTTAGAACTCATGGGTTCGTCATTCGATCGGGTCCCATTGGCTGGCTGACTTTGTAACCGAAAGGTCCTGAATTCGGACACTGGCGGTAGGTGCGCCCTGATAAAGAGTCCTAAACTAGGCTAACGAAACAGCTGTCCAGTACTCCCTGCAGGTTTTCCAATGGTTATCCTTAACCGATATCAGCTCATGATAAAATCCTCCAAGCAATCAAATAAAATCCCTACAAACCAATACTTGAAAATAAATCTAACTAAAATATAACCCAAACTTGATGATTTGTCAGTTGGAATGTTAAGATATACAATCAGTCGGTGGCACAGTGGTTAAGACTCTCGCCAACTATGCATATGGTCCGGGGTTCGATCCCCTGCCGACGCACACCTGATATCTATGGTTGGCCTGCGAATTTTGGGCTACCGATATCCACGCTGAAAATTCCACACTTGTACCAAAAATACAGTGTGGAGTCAAGCTGTAACCAAAAAATAAAAAAAAAATATTATTAATAATTCTATTTATAAGAAACATGCAAAGGTGGAGCAGTCTCTGATAACAAGAATAATAAAAAGAACAACATAAGTCAACAAAGAAATGTTCAGCTAGACGTAGTCGATAAACGCTAAGAGAAATAAATGGTCCGATTAAGTAATGCCCGATTGTAAAGGAAGCGAAAATAAGCTATATTTTTTTTAAATGAAGATAAATCATAAGATTAGGGAATGATAAGAAAGGGATTACACACATATAGGTAAGTGAGTGATAGTGACATCATCATTTGGTTAGGTTTTAATTGGCCAAAGGTAGAATGAAATAGCTGTACGAACTTCTTTGGAATGCATAGAGTTCAGGCTGAATAGTTCGAATGCCTATCACCTCAGCTATACGTAGTAGATGAATACGGAGTTCATTGGAAAGATTCGATGCGATGCAATGAATCACCTAGAATACTTTCATTTTCTCCATTAAATGTGATAAAACGAAGCTTCGGATGGTTTTTGTCTGTCCTTAATCACACTACGATGGGAGTTGTTCAGTACTGACACGTAGGCGAAGCTGTCCAGTAGTACGTCCAATATACCAGTCTCCACAGGAGCAGCTAACTGAATCAATAAACGTAGATGTGACAAAAATATTTTTTATACATGTCATCATCTTTGTTATTAATAGAATTATTATTTGAAACAATTAGTTCCCTTTATGAATTTAGACAAAACAATAAGAAGACGGAATCGTGTGTGTAATGTATTTGCGCAACACATTTCGAACAGTCTGATCACACACGGACTTTTCATAGGAATGTATATATGTGAAAATAGTAAAGAGTTAAAAGTTGAGAGAATAGACTTAGGTCAAGTTAAAAGGACATATTGAAAGTCAAAATAACAGGTCATAATAACCTAAAGTTTGCGGAAGCCCTAGCTGGCAATTAGGAGGTTTAAACCACCTTTATGCGTTCAAAGCAACAATTTATCATCACACTAAACCTACCTTCTATGGTAAACTTTGTTTTGATACATACCAGGGTAGATGTACTACTTATACCCCTCTGTTATTTGGTCTAGTGATCTTCATTGTGATTCTGACCTCTAATTATACCCTTTTAACTTGATCTAAGTCTATTTTCTCACCTCTTAACTCTTTATTATTCTCACATATATACATTCCTATAACAAGTCTCTGTTTTATCAGATTATATTGTTACATATTATATATTAGAGATAAGCCTGATGAGATTTACTTGAAAATGCAATACTGTTCGTTTACATGTGTTATTCTAAATTTTTCATCAAATAATGTTTATTACCCTTTGAGTCATGAAGAAGAAAAAAGACAATCCAGCGAAGAAAATTTCCTTGATCAATGTAGATCAGTGGTAAGGTGTACTTGCTTCGCCTGTGAGAGATCTCAGATCCAGTCCTCATCGTCACCATACACACATACACACCGAAGTGTTTATTATGTTTTGACTACTATATATGCTGGCAACTACTTCGCTACTACTATGGGGTGCCATCGACAATTATACATCTCATTCAACAGTTGTACGATAATGCTGCATGCCAAGTAATCTACAACGGGAAACTTACGGAATCCTCCGAAGTAAAGACGGGAGTAAGACAAGCTGGCTGCCTACTACTATCGCCAATGATTTTGCTGATTGCAGTAGGTCGGATAATGCGACAGACAGGTGGCGGCGAGGAAACAGACATAAAATTGACCCACACAAAAAACTTGAAGGATCTGGACTTCACCGATGATATATGTCTGATTTCCCACAAACTGGAAGATATGCAAGTGAAAAACAACAAGTTAGCAGAACAAGCATCAAAGATAGGACTTCAAGTGAACATAGATAAAACAGAGGTGATGAAGATTCCAGGCCAACAGCAACAACAATCAGCCAGCATAAATAGGAAGGACCTGAAAAAAAACAACCTCCTTTACCTACCTGGGAAGCATCGTTTCGACTTAGGTGGAACTGACGAGGATATAAAAGCGAGAATCGGGAAAGCAAGACAAGCTTTCATTACTCTGTGTGGAGGTCAGCAGAAGTCAGAATGAAATGAAAAATAAGATCCGGATTTTCAACTCCAATGTGAAGTCAGTGCTACTATATGGATCAGAGACTTGGCGCGTCATAAAGAGCATCTCATACAAAATACAGACCTTCATTAACAGTTGTCTTCGCTCAATACTACTGAAGATCAGATGACCGGCCAGAAAAGATCACCAACAGTGAAGGATCTCTGGCAATGAGCGAACCAACCAACCAGGAACCGATTGTGCAACAAATACGCAGGAAGAAATGGAGATGAATTGGCCTTACTCTAAGGAAACCATCAAGTGACATCACTAGGCAAGCCATTGCTCGAGTGGTACCCGAAAGGGAAGCGGGGAGTTGGTCGTCAGTGCGATGGTGGGGTGACTTGGAGGAGGTGATGTGAAGAGGAAATGAAAGCGTGTGGGCAGACTTGGAACGGGTTGAAAAGGTTGGCAGAAAACCGAACGCAATGGAAACGCGCGGTTGAAGCCCAGTGTTCCTCTAGGGATTAAAGGAAATAATAATAATAATAATATACTATATATGCGCTTAATTAAACCATTGTTTACCAGTTGAAAATGCGCTTATATATCTTATCTTTATCCCTTCTGCCTGCCAATGACTATGAAATACAAAATATCCTTTGTGTATTTTATTATTTTTTTTATTTTTTATTTTTAGGTAATTCTGAAGCATTTCCTTCATAGACGTCCATTTATTATCTCTCAAGTTGAACAGTGGATCTTAGAAATGCATAATCATGAACAATTTAAAGGAATAGAAGTTTACGTCAAAGAACTCGAGGTAGAGTTGGATAATGTTTGGATTTACTGTTTGTTTTAATATTTGTTATTGTTGCTTTTGTTGTTCTTGTTGCCTATTGATGAAAATATCAAGATAGTTGCATCGTTTACACCAATTCAGATGACAAGGGTTTACATAATCTCTGGATGTATTTAAGCATACAACTTTGATATTGGTCAGAGACTACTGATTAGATGTTTCACCCTGGTTTGGGACTCTTCATCAGAACTCATCCATTCCCGTATATCTAAAACTGATAATTTTTACTGGTTAAAATAACCACACGATCTAGATATCTAAAAAAATGGCAAAGTTCAACAATAACGTCCTAGGAGTGCGAACACACGAGTGACCTTCCGTCAACCAATCATAAAAATGAGGAATGTTTGCTTAAAACATGATGTATATTGACAAGAAAATGCTTGGAAACGCATTAAACAGGTCATCTTTCTCTCACATGGCTTAAAAATACGTCCTAGTTGTAACAAGGAGTATCATTTGCTAAGTGAGACTAGTTTCAGTACATGTATTCACCGAGATGACTACAGATAAACCCTTTTTGTGAATCGTTTATCTCTCTCATCCTGCTTGCAGTTTTCCGCAAGAAGACAGATGACTACTTACCAGGAAAACGTGAATAATAAAACAAATTAAAATAAATGACATCAGCTATATATCTATCCCTAATCCTCACCATAAGCTTAATTCTGACCCTAACACTAACCCTAAGCATAACCCTTATCTAAACTATAATTCTAACCCTAATCCTAATTATAACTTTGATCCTAACCCTAATCCTAACCCTAACGAGCTATTAACACATTGTCCAAACAGTACTTAAAAACGTGATCTGGGTGAAATTTGCTCCTAAGTTGGTGAATAGCATTAATATTTCAGCTATGATAATAACAGGTGCCAACGTCTAGCATGCGATCAAGGTCATTGGATCCTTCACACTCCTGGGACGCTATTGTTGAACTTCGCCGACAAAAAACTGGAAAGGAATATATTTCTTCACTCAGTTCGTTGTTGTTTTTTTCAGATTGGATTTTAGCGCTGCATTGCTTTTATAAATATATATACTCATTAGTGTGGATAAACAAAAAGTGTTCATTTAAAAGTCTTATTAATTGAGAAAACAAGCCTAACTTGTGTGTGTGTGTGTGTGTGTAACGAATTTCGATGCTAAGACAAAAATCACAAATCAATTAAACTTATTTCTATGTTATCTTTTGTTTGTTTTTCTCCTATAAAACAGGATTCTTTGACTATTTTGAAAATTGAATTTCAACAGCTCGAAGGACGTTTAATCAATTGGGAAGAGAAAAAGAAATCATTGACTCAGTAATTAGTTTATTATTAATATTACTATTATCATCATCACCATCAAAATTACATTTTTATTGATTATTTTTTTAGTTTATATATACAGTATATATGTAAATCAATTACTTCAAATTTGTACATTCATTGTCAAATCAGCATGAACTTTCTGTGCCATTACCTCAAAAATTATCGATTAATTCTTTCACATTTAAATTACAGTGTATTGGCTTTATTTATAACAAAGTGTCGACTTCCTATTTTATGCATATACCTCAAGCTAACATAAATGAGATCACAATTGCTATCTAAAGAAAGATACATGATATATATATAATTGAATTCTATCCAAACTTCTTTCTATTCCTAAAATTCTAATGGGGATGGCAATAATTTTGAGTACCTCTTCAACATTTCACGTTAGTCACAGGATTCGTACTAAAAGTTTATTGTATAGACTCTACTTCTTTTTAATGTCTTTTTCCAGCTTTCCTATTTGATTTATAACAAGGTATTTATTGTAATTTTTAAAGATAAATAGAAATCTGCTATGCCTAAACAATTTTGTTTAAATTCATCATATGTGCATGTCGCGGGCTTTTTAAACTTTAAAACATCTGATATAATGGACTGGCAAATAATAATGCTGTGACTTGGATTCGTCACTTGGAAAAGCAATAGGTAGGCCGATTGAGAATCGAATGCTGAACAGCAATTTCTTCTGACCCCTAAAGGCTTGAAGGAAAAAAGAATCAGAAGATAGACTGATCCGAGGTCAAGAGGATAAATATGTTATAGGCATACATTACAAATACTTGGAAAGTTGGAACATCATGTGATTATATGTAAGGGCTAGTTTCTGGTTATCCAATCATATTATAAAAAATCTCCTACTTCAGCAGAATGGTTTGATTGTTTTAGCCGGTTTATACTGTAAAACAAAAATAATTTTAAAATCAGAAATTATGAGTAAGTTGCGTGCGATATTTGACTAAATCAGCGTACACGTAATTTCCTAGTACTTCTTTACGTTTATCTCGATATGCATAGACGTTGTGGCTATGTGACACCCACAGCGTAAAAACCAAAAGGCACTTGCGAAGTGTACGATCGTGCATTATATAGCAGTAGTCAGATTTTCAAAAATTATGTCAAGGTAATGTTCAACAGTAAATTAACAAATGTTTGCGAAGTACATACAAAATCGGTCTGTGTAAACATGTAATATAAGTATGCAAATTAGATTAAAAAGCGTATGTTTATAGTTGGTATAGGGGTACTATAAGTATAAGTCAAGCTTTAAGCTGTGCCATTAATTCAGTTGTCTTGGCTATTAAATTAAGAACAGAACTTGGGAACTGTGGTGGTATATTATTCCATCATTGAATAAATTTATTTTATACTTTTGATCGGACACTAGCTAGTTTAATTTATATTTTTGATTACAGCTTGACTCCACACTGTATTTTTGGTACATGTATGGAATTTTCAGCATGCGATATCGGTAGCCCAAATTTTGCAGGCCGACCATAGATATCAGGTGTGCGTCAGCAGGGGTCGAACCTCGGACCATGTACATGGTCGGCTAGAGTCCTAACCACTGTGCCACCGACGCACATATGTCCAGTCCTCTGTTTACTACAGACTGAATTCTATCAGTCAAGTTTGCAATGTAAGCACCATACTAGATGGCTCACCATCACGGTACACTCAAGATTGTTGTTATTAGATGGTTGGATACAATCAATCGGTAGGAAGTCTTGAACCTAGGTTTCGTGCTTGTTGGCACTCATTCATGGGTAATCCCCATCCAGGCATTAATGAAAACAAAACACCTAGTGTTCAGCGAAGAGTCTCTTTTCACCGGTGAATTCATTTTCATAGCTGTACAATCGCGAATATATATGGTCGTTCTGTATGTGTGTGTGTACATTAAGTTTGTCAAACAAAAATACAATTGGTTATGGTTATTTCAACTAAACAGGTGAAGACTGGTAATACAAGTCAAGAAAATTAGGTGTTAATGAAATTAGTGTAGTAACAAAGGTGATGAGTTGTCACAAACAGTTGTTAAAAAAGAAGTTATATAATAATATGAATAGTTTGATGATTGAGTTTTACTCACGATGCACATAGGAACAAAGTAGAGATTACGAAATTACGTAGGAGTTCTAAATGAACAGAAGAATTATCAGCAATTAAAGAACAGGCAAACAAACAGAATTAAGTCATCAAAATCAACAAAGTTGTTACCATGACAGTAGAAGTGGTAGAGTAATTCTCTTTTGAATGCACAGCTCCGGTTTTTCTATGTGAATGACCAGAGCTTGAGCGATACAAAGGAGACGAAACCGTATTGACTTTGATAGGTTATTCTTGACTCTGTAGATTACTTTGAAGGAGGGGCGTTTGTTGAGACAGAATGATCAGTGTTAATCAGGTGTTGAATTATCGCACTCCTTATTGCACCCGTATTGCCTTTTCGCAACCATGCTGGATAGTGTTCTTGAATCCTCTCGGATAGGTTGCGCGTTGATCGACCGATGTACCTGGCTCCACAGCAACAGGTGAACTGATATATGCACATAGAAGTGGTCAGATGTGGGATCTTGTCCTTGAGGCTTCTGCAGATCAGTGGGCGACTGGAGAACACTATTGTTAGCGTTGCTGCAAAGAATGTTCTTCTCAGAGATGGTGTGCTCCTTCTCTTGAGAATATCGCTTGTCAAATCTTCCTTGAAATCCAAGTTCATGTAGAGTTTCTTTTTAAGCGCAATTAAAGTTTCGTTTCTCCGAATTCTTGGTTTGATATTTTTGTCGATGAATCTTATTGGGTATCCATTTTGGATGAAGATTTCTCACAGAATATTTAATTCTGTTTCCAGAACGTCGGGACTACAGATGCGTTGGATGCGGGTGGCAAGTGATTTATTTAAATTCCGCTTTTGTTGAATGAGTACCCAGCTATAGAAGCTTGTTAGTTGACCATTCCAAGTAGCTTCCGTTGGCACTCACTAGTCAGTAAGGCGTATCTGCAAACTTCATTGATAGAATTTTTGTCTGCAGTAAACAAAGGACTAGACACATGAGACTTATTAGTGTCCAATCAAAAGTACCTCATACAGTCCTATAGGTGGGCCCGAATAGCTCTAGGATTTCACATCTAGTGGAGTAGTTTGTGCCATATTCAGTCTCGAATACCTTCAGCGTGAAGTATCTCTGCGCCCCGTCTGTTTGTATGTCTGGATTCAACATAGAACTTGGCACCGAAGTGCACCAGTTCGAGTTGCCACGTTCCAAATAGCACACAGAGGTAGACAAGAAGATGAGTGAAGAGAATCAATAGAGTTTGACAAGTATAAGAGTGAAACAGAATGGGTAATGGTAGAAAGGAATATGAAAGATTACAGAGACTGAATACATCTGCGCCATTGACAACGATTTTGAGCCATGTCACCTATTGTCTCCAGCCATTGATTCCTAGAGTCCCGAGGGCCCCAACCCGGAGTCTGCATCTCCCTACCTGACTCAGTTTAACTGTCAAGGATTTCATGGATTGATGAGGCCATGTTTTTGTTTGGCCACCACTGGCTCTTTTCCAACCTGAACCTATATCAGCTAGTAATGCCCGTCGGGGGAGGCGGTGGTTAGGCATGCGCAGCACGTGACCTAGCCATCTTAGTCTATGTAACTTTATAGCCTCGTCGATTGATTTTCCCTCTTTGCCCAACACTCTACGCCTAACGTCAACATTACTTACCTTATTAAACCACCTAACGTGAGACAGAGATCGCAGACATCTATGATCGAAAGCAGTCAACCTTTTCATGTCTTCAACGCGTATTGGCCATGTTTCAGAGCCATAGAGAAGGACGGAGCGAACTGATGAGCAGTACACACGTCCCTTGGTTGATAACCGGATGTCACGCCTACGCCAGAGATGGTGTAAGTCAGCGAAAGCAGCTCGAGCTTTTCGGATCCGTGCTGAGATTTCATCGCCAATCAGTCCGTTGGTGCTAATACAACTTCCCAATAGGTGAAGTGGTCAACATGTTCTATCACTTCACTCCCTATCACTAAGTTAGGAGTTGACGTGGTCCAGTCCTGTAGCAGCATCTTACATTTTGTAGGGGCGAATCGCATGCCAAACATACGAAGATTGCTGCTCAAGGTGTTCAGAAGACTCTGCATTTTGTCAGCATCCTCCCCTAACAGGACTATGTCATCTGCATATTCTAAGTCCATAAGACTATTCCCTGGTAACAAGTCGATTCCTAAGTCATTACGTTCAGTTAAGGATACTTCCATCAGCATATCTATGATGAAGTTAAACAGAAATGGGGAAAGTGGACATCCCTGTCGGACACCACTGGTTGTTACCAATTCAGATGACAATTCCCCATAAGCCCTTACACGACTACGTGAGTTTGAATAGAGTGCCTTGATTAGTGCAATGTACTTTCTTGGCACTCCCTTCACAGTCAGACATTGCCATAGTACCTTTCGATCCACGGAGTCGAAGGCCGCCTTCAAGTCAAGAAATATGACAATTGTTGGACGCCGAAAAGTGTGTCTATGTTCTAGAATCTGTCGAAGAGTGAAGATATGATCTATGCACCCTCTACCTGGTCTAAAGCCTGCTTGATTTTCCCTTGTCTGTTCCTCCCGAGTTCTGCTTAGTCTATGCATGATTACTGAGCCTAGGATTTTAGAGACTATGTTCGTTAGGCTGATCCCCCTATGATTATCACACGAGGACTTGTTTCCCTTCTTGAATATCGGTATAATAAGTGACTTACCCCAGTCTGATGGACTGTCTCTGATTCCCAGACTTTGCCTAGTACCTCAGTTAATCTACAAACTAGTATGTCACCCCCATATTTAAACACCTCCGGAATAATTCCGTCGGGTCCTGCCGCTTTGCCTCGTTTCAAATTACTGATAGCTTTTGTGACCTCACTTACAGACGGCGGACCAGTGTCTATATCCCATTCGGGTACGTGGTGGATGGGGGGGAGGTTCAGTG